AATAAATAAATAGTAATTATAAAACTGAATTAGGAGTGAAAGCCTGAAAAATAAATACATAAATAAATAAATTATACACACACCCACACACCCACAACCTTCATTTTTTACAACTCAAGGCTGCCTACATAATGCTCCCTCTTCCTATTTTCCCCACAACAAAAATGCTATGAAAGTTTAGGCTGAGGGATAGTGAGTAGCCCAAATTCACCCAGCTGGCGTTCATACCTAAGGCAGGATTACAACTCAATCTCCTCATTTCTAGTCCAGCACCTTAACCACTGCACCAAACTGAATTATGTAATGCATCCTGGTTTTGATCCATTTATTTTCTTACCTGTCAGACCAATAGTTCTTCAGGTATTTCTTGGTGAGGTCAAGAATGCCTTCAAACCATTGCCAAAATGTGAATCCTCTACCAGGAAGCATCTCCTGTAAATTACAAGGTGAGTGTGAGAAGCAGGTGACACCAACTAGATAAGCTCAAGAGGCTATCATATCACCCTTCTAACAAAACCCATTGAGAGACCTTATTGAATTGGGACCAAGACACGTGGCATCTCTGCAGTTCCTCTAGACTGGTGATGTTGTCACCAAAGATCTTCTGGGCCAAGAAGAAATAATGATCCTTGAGTAGACCTTTTGTGGTTTGCACCTCCGCAAGGAACTTCTGGTTGAGAGTGTCACACATTGCCTTCCAGCTAACACGCTCGGCCACCACAAAGGGAATGCGATCCTGGAACAGATCAAGAGAGACAGCATCACACACCTGCTATAAACTGTAGCAGACAACAGTACTCCGTATCCTATTGTATATTTCCCCAAAGGCTGATCTGGTACTAAAGGATAACCCTCACTAAGAACAGCAACTCTAAATCTTACCTTGGTTTCTCACTGCCTTACCAGTTTGTGTTAGCTGGTTTATACCAATAGCCATAGCACTTAGACTTATATACAGTTGAACCTCTGGTCACGACCATAATTCATTCCATAATTTTGGTCGCAACCCAATTTGGCCGCAACCCGAACCTAATTTTGGAAATTTGGCGCTTACAAAAAAATGGCGCAGAAGGGGAAATCAGCTGCAATTTTTTTGTGTGTGTGTACATTTTTTGGTAGGAACCCAATTTGGTCCTGGTCAGAAGCGTTCATGTCCAGAGGTTCTACTGTACCGCTTTACAGTGCTTTTCAGCCCTCTCTAAGCAGTGTACAGAGTCAGCATATTACCCCCCAACAATCTGGCTCCTCATTTTACTGGCTTTGGAGGAATGGAAGGCAGAGTCAACCTTGAGCCGATGATATTTAAATTGCCAAATTGCAGGCAGCCAGCAGTCCACAGAAGTAGCCTGCAGTACTGCACTCTAACCACTGGGCCACTGTGGCTTATACTAATGGAACTATGATTAGGTTTCCACATTACAGTTCAGCCTGAAATACAAAAAGCCATTGGGCCATATGAAGAATATATCAAAAGTTTCCTTTCCAGAAAATGGCATAATGGTGGAGTAAGAAGCCACTGTACATGGCCCCAGGTTCTTCAGATTTTACAAACGGCAGGAATAATTTTGGTTCATATCTTACTCTCATTTGAGATTTTTCAGCAGTGTCCATGATTTCCCCCAATCTTTGCTATTCTAAACTCATCCAGTGATTTTCATGACCGAGTAAGAATTTAACCCTGAATTTAACTGCCCCACCAGATCCTCTCCTACTGGTATGGTAGGTATTATAGAGAGGCTCAAGGCTGGAGATGAGGAATCTGTGGGCAGTTAGAGGTTGCTGAACAACTCCTAGCATCCTTTTTTTTTTTTTAACAAGCTGTCTTAGATTTCTGAAGGCTCACGGGTTCAAATCCTTCCCCTAAAGAAAGTTGTTTCTAAAAATCCACATTTTTTTGACAATTAAATGTCTACGTTAAATTCTTCCCTTAATGATTAGCAGTCTTAGTCTGCACCTTTCACTTACGGGGGCAGCAAAGGCATTGTCCCATAAGATGGTGGCTTTAGCATTGTTGTCCTGATTTCCATGGACAATCACCACAAGGGGCAGCGACAGAGCCTAGAATGACAGGAGAGAACAAAGAGTTGTAATTAACGACTGTGATTTTCTTTAAAACTGGCCTGCTGTCTTTTGTTTCTGACTGATCAGCTTAGAACCAGGGGTGAAATGCTCCCGGTTTGGACCGGATCAGATGATCCAGTAGTGATTGTGGCAGGTGGTTCGGAGAACCGGTAGTGATGGCGGCATGAGGCTCCGACCTACCCACACGGGTACTTCCTGCTTTTAAAAGGTAAAAAAAGGCTCTGATGATCGCGTGGCACAGCTGCGATTGTCGGAGCCTTTTTTTTTAACCTTTTAAAAGCATTTTTAAACAACCTATTCTGAATTGAAGTTGTAAAAGCCCAGAAACCCAGAGAGACTTAAGTAAAAAAATGAAGCCTGCACCCGTTCTCCCGAACCAGATGTTAATTTTCTGAGCAGTTCGGAGAACCGTTTGTTGGAAGAAATCTTTTCCCACTTTACAGGGCTAATCCTGCAAGGGAGACAGGAAGGAAACATTCTGGTATGCCTGTATTTCTAGCCTAATCCTTATCTTACTTGCCCTGCAGCTTTAAGTGTTTTCAGAAATTGCCTCTGGGGTAAGCTTGTTACCTTGTAAGCCTTAGCAGTAAGCCCAGACTTTCTATCTGTAGACTGAGCTTCTTCGGAGTTTCCTCCCTCCCCCTGGAGTTTTTTTTAGTACTTTTATTCCTGGGGCTTGACTTTCTTAAAGATTGTTAAAGGGTTGTTTTAAGCTTTTGGGAGTATACTTCCAACATGGCTGGAACAGCTATTTACAGAAGGGTTGGCATAGCCATAGAAGAAATGGCTGAGAGGCAGGATGCAAGCTTGGCATTCTGTCTGATTTTTTTACTGCCTTTCTGGGAGCATGTGATCTTTCCTTAATTCTGTTATGATTTCCTTAGGATATCTTGTGAGGTGAGTGAGACCAGCCGGTATATCTTTTAAGTGGTGCAAATGGATCTGAGGGTTGCTTCTCCTGGGTCGGAAACGGTGCTTTAGTCAGTTCACTTGAGCACAGGAGTCTCCTGTCTATGGGGATTCTTCAGTCATCCAGGTCATGGTTGTCCCAAAGGTGCTTTTTTCAAGAGGCAACTGGACTTTCTTGGTTTCCAGAAAGCCCAGTTGCCTCTTGAAAAAAGCACCTTTGGGACAGGAGTCTCTTGCATTGGCGTCGGAGTGGGCAAGGCACATGATTGCTCACTGATAATAAGCAGCAGTAACAGAGTTGGAGGTCATCTAGTCCAACCCCCTGCTCAAGCAGGAGACCTTTACTAGGGATTCGAACCACCGACCTTTCTGCTCGACAAGCTCAGTGTCTTAGCCACTGAGCCGCCTAGCGGATCCTCCTTCCAATTTAGGCAAAAATTCCCTGCACCAAGGTCTGAACAAAGGCAGAGTGGGATTAGCCCGCACTCAAGATATTAATTTGTTTATTTGTCTCTTTAGCTGGGCCTTTTGTAGCCCAAATATACCCGCCCACTTTCTGGAGAGCTTTAATGACCTCTCTACTAAAGGGTTTCACTTTATGAGCAAGGCTAACTTGGCTGCTGATAGTTATCCTTGTATTTTAACTATTTTTAATTCCTCAATGTGCTCTGGCAACCTGCCTGATTTGTAACTCCGGGTTGCAGGTATTACTGAGGAAAAGGAAGGTATTCAGACAGAATGGTTTAGGTTTCCATGACGGCTGTGACTCGTTGATCTTCAGTGTGTATTCCTCCATTTCTAATCTAATGACTGGTATTTAGGGCAGCTTTTTGCAAGCAAAGAAGCTTTTTGTATTTTTGTACAAGTAATCCTTGACTAACAACAGTTCATTTAGTGACCATTCAAGGTTACAATGGCACTGAAAAAAAGTGTCTTATGACCGTTGGTCACACTTACGACCGTTGCAGCATCCCCACGGTCATGAGAGGGTGGGCGAGGTGAAGCGCCCCTCGATGTAAGTGACATCAAGTTGGCCATGCCCATCCAGCCACGCCTACCCAGCCATGCCCACCCAGCCAGTCATTAGGGCAGAGAACCAGTTGTTAAAATATATATAAAGGGCTTCATTTTCTTACTTAAGTCTCTCTAATTCCATTAAAGATTTCATTTTATCTGTTTGAACCTAATAAAAGTTGGGTTGACAACCATCTATCTGTCTGTTGTTGGAAACTGGGGCTTAATGCATGATTAATGACACCATTATTGGAAGCAGAATTGTTGTCAAGTTCTACTGAAAGAAACCTGGGGCAAGAGAAGGAAATTTGCATGGAAAAAAAACATACACCATATAGTCAACCAATCCTGATACTGTCCCATTAGTGGGTGTTTCTTCTCATAGCAGAAGGTATGCATCCAATTATTCCTCCCAAAAGAGCACCACAAAACCTTCTTGTTGCCAGACCTAGAAATTTGCATCCCATTTGTATCTCTGGAGCCAAACTGCTCAAGAGGGAAGAGAGGAGACATTGTAGGGCACTAATGGTATTTGGTTCTTTTCAAGGCTTTGCCTAACCTATTTGTGTGTGTCTCTCTCAAGGAAGCAATAAACCAGCAGCACATTACATCTCTAGTACTAAGAATAATACCAGCCCCCACATGGTGTTGCTACCTGTAGGTGAAAGTTGGTTTGGTTGGGTCCGAGGCAAATGCTGGTACTGAAGAGGACAGCACACTTCTCTTCCGTTACCGATTCTGTACTCTTGCGGTCACAACGCTTGATCTTTTTGAGAAGCTGAAGATGAGAAAAGGCACATCTCCATTGGCTTAACTTCTGCAAGGGGAAATCTGTTCCAAATCTTAGCTCCCGGCTTATAATTTGTTGACCCCCCACGCAGTGGTGAAAACCAGCAGGTTCTGACAGGTTCTGGAGAACTGGTAGCGGAAATTTTGAGCAGTTCAGAGAACCGGCAGCGGAAATTTTGAGTAGTTTGGAGAACCAACAAATGCCACCTCTGGCTGGCTCCAGAGTGGGGTGGGAATGGCGATTTTGCAATATCCTTTCCTCGGGAGTGGGGAGTGAATCGGGATTTTGCAGTATCCTTCCCATGCCATGCCCACCAAGCCACGCCCACAGAAGTAAAATAAAATTGGATTTCACGACTGCCCCCATGGCCTTCTTGAATGACAAAGCTCACCAAACATGCTTCTAAGCAAAGCATCTCTTGTAAGGCTGAGCAACCATTCGGAATTGAAGGAGAAAAGGGGATTCCCCGCAACGGGACACTTCTACTACATCTCTCAGTGACTCCTTAAAGAAACCGTATCTTTCCCTGGGCTTGCACAGCTGCTGCACAATCTTAGGAAAAAATACATTTGGCCTAATGAGATGCCAACGTGAGCATCTTTTGAGCACCCCAAATCACCCTTTCATTTTTTTGAATCTAGGTCACTGTGCAGCCCAAAGGAACACCCATTCGTGGAATTTTATAGAGGACTCGGATGTCATTGATTTACATATGTAAGCTTCCATTAAGTTGGGCAAGATAGAAAAACTGCAGGTTCTTTTTGATTTGTACAGCAACAGATGTTTGTCTGCACATGGAATATAATGATCTGAGGATTAAAAAAAAAAAAAGCAACAGTCCTGAAGATGGGGGAAATCACTTTTTTAAAAAGTTCCCTTACAAGAAGGAACTTGGAAGGAAAAAACTTGGATGAGAATTGTCTTCCCTGCTGCACCCATTTTCCTCTTATAGTTATCTAGATGGGAGAGTATTATCCCCTTTGGCAGTCTGAAGGGATATACGTCATCTTCCTACCACTTCCAGCATCTTGTCATGGTACAAGTGTGACTCAGACCCGAGCTACATCATCCCAAATGATGATTGACACTGCTACATTTCTAAAGTTAATCATGATTGCAACCTGGCCATGGCCTGAATGTGAGTTGCTTCTGGGGTGTCAACCGTCCCACTGGTTGAAATAGCAAAGGAGGCATCTTTTATCAAGATTTTAACTTTACTGAAAATGCCATGTGGGTATAGATGTGGAAAAGCCAGTTCTAACATTTTCACGCACAAATAGCATAGGAAAACTTTCCCCTGGTCCTCCCACTGTCCATTGTCCAGCCAATCAGTTACACTTGCGTTGTTTTAGGAACGGTTTCTTCGCTTTTTTCCCAGCCGATGACCTTGGGGAGCTGGATCAGTCTCAGGCTTCAAGCTGGCAGACTTGCATTCCTGTACCCTCCCCAATACCCCCCTTGCATTCCAATGCCTTCTCCCCACCCCCATCCTGGTTGCTGATGTCTGGTTGCGAGCAGGGTTTGTGTAATGAACCGACCATGACATGGGGATTTTTTGTAAACTGATTTGAACTTAAACATACATGCATAATGACAGAGATGACCAACACCTCCCCTCCCCCTCCAATTTTGCTTTCTCTGCAATTTTTTGGTAAGTTGCTTCCCATCCCAATTTACAGCCTATCTCACCAGTTAGGCTGTTTGAATTCACTCCTACTCACTTCTTCTCAATCCACTTACCAAATTTTTGAACTGAGCAGTACAAGAATTGCTGGAGGCATTTATATCCAGGGATGCTGTGTTGTTTACAATCTCTCCAGTGCTTTCACTGAAGTCAAAAGGAAAACAAGAAATCATGAGTTGGTTCCTTTACTACCAGGAAGTGATTATTCATTGTGCCGAGAGTTCTCACTCTAAAGTTTGCTTATATGCTATAGTGAAAACAGTTCTTCTATGGATAAACACTGGAGCTAATCTTGTCTTTGTAAAATATTTCATTTTGAAACATTAGTTTTAAAGAGAAGAAAAAGGCCACCACATTACTGGTAGTCCTCAAATTACAACAGTTTGTTTAGTGACTGTTCAAAGTTACAACAGCACTGAAAAATGTGACTTATGACCGTTTTTCACAGTTACAACCTTTGAAGCATCTCCATGATCATGTGATCAAAGTTCAGATGCTTGGTGCAAAGTGCAGTATCTCAAGGTCATGTGATCGCCTTTTGCAACTTTCTGACAAGCAAAATCAATCGGGAAACCAGATTCACTTAACAACTGGGTTACTAACTTATCGACTGCCGTGATTCACTGAACAACTGGCAAGAAAGGTCTTAAATGGGGCAAAACTCACTTAACAAATGTCTAACTTAACAACAGAAATTTTGGGCTCAATTATGGTCGTAAATCAAGGATTACCTGTACATTGTCAAGAAATAACAGAATGACTGCTTTTTAAATTGGAGACTAATCGGCAGTCACACAGAATTTCAACTACTACTCATTTTCCCTCTCGTGCTCAGTGTTTCCGTATACCTATAAATTTCTCTTTTACTATACTATTAAGAATAATTTCAAAACTTCTTTGGGCAAACTATTATGATACGTTTCTCTCATCCAGATATCATTTGAGCTGAAGATGAACTTTATTCATTTAGTTACTTCACCTTCTCCACCTTCATAAATTTCATAGGCAACCAAATTTCATTTTAATGTATACTGATTAGTGTACATTCAAAGTGACCATGAAGTTATTCTAAGTCTTCTGTTAGTTACTATAGATATTCACTAGTTACATGAGATAAATCATTCCTCATTTTGACAGTTCTTCTTTCTCTTTAAGACAAGAAGGGAAGAGTGAAACAGCACATATGTGGAGCAGTGGTGGGTTGCTATCGGTTCAATCCAGATCTTGCAAACCTATAGTAACGGCAGCGGGAGGCTCCGCCCACCCACCTGTACGTCATCATGGACGCTCTGTGCATGCAAACCGGTAGCAAAGGTAAGTGGAACCCACCCCTGATGTTAGTGGTGGGTTGCCCCCAGTTCGCACGGGTTCTATAGAACCGGTAGTAAAACTGGCGGGAGGCTCCACCCACTGACCCTGACATCATCAAAATGCGCTTCTGTGCTTGTGCAGAAAAGCGTGTGTGTGGCCCCGCTGCGAACCGGTAGTAAAGGTAAGTAGAACCCACCCCTGCCTGATGTGGAGCCCTGAAAGTATATTTCAAAGCAGTTCCTGTGAACAGTTTGTGTGAAATTTTCTCATTCTACCTAAGATCTGTGTTTAAGAATCTATTCTTGGATAAAAATCCATACCTTTTCACTCCAAATACATTCTTTAAAAAAAGAAACTTGGAAATAAATCCACCAGGAGAGATACACTGAAGCTGCAATGGTGTCTCTCACCTAAAGGCAGAGGCAGAACGGTTGGCAGTCAGTTCCCGGGCCTGTTTCTCTGTCACAATGTCAGCCGTGACCAGAAATGATGTTGGCGGATGTTTGAGTAACTGAGGTCCCAGCAGGAAGCGGACACTGGCTTGAAATTTCGTCTGCGTCTTTAAAACTTGCGGAGGCTGTTTTTCCACCAAGAAGGAACTGGAGGGGAAACACAAGCCAGGCTCAAGTATGAGAAGAGCCAGTTCTGGGAACAGCATATTCACCCTACTCCCTTCCCCAGGATATTGCTAATAAGCGCTATGTGCTTAGAGCTCAAAGCATTGTTAGAGACCCCACACACCCACTTCACAATCTGTTTCGGTTGCTCCCCTCTGGGAGGAGGTTTCAAATTATATCTAGCAGGACCACCAGATTCTGTAACAGCTTTGTTCCCTATACTTTCCATCTGGTAAACTTGCAGGATTTGTTTCTCTTGCAATGTACATATATACATCCGAATTAGAATGTGTTGTTTCTCCATTCCATATAATATATGTGGGTACATGCATAATTATTTGTTTGTTTGTTTATTCATCCTGTCAAGTTTATGTTTATATTAGAGGTGGAGACCTTTTGAGTGCTGTAAAGGTAAAGGTTCCCCACGCACATATGTGCTAGTCGTTCCTGACCCTAGGGGGCAGTGCTCATCTCCGTTTCAAAGCCGAAGAGCCAGTGCTGTCCGAAGACATCTCTGTGGTCATGTGGCCGGCATGATTAAACACCGAAGGCGCACGGAGCGCTGTTAACTTCCCACCAAAGGTGGTCCCTATTTTTCTACTTGCATTTTTTACGTGCTTTCGAACTGCTAGGTTGGCAAAAGCTGGGACAAGTAATGGGAGCTCACCCCATTACATGGCACTAGGGATTCGAACCGCTGAACTGCCGACCTTTCGATCGACAAGCTCAGTGTCTTAGCCACTGAGCCACCGCATCCCTAACTTGAGAGATGTATGCAACTTAATTTCATTGTAATGTATGCCAATTAGTGTACATTCAAAGTGACAATAAAGTTATTCTAAGTTCTAAGTTTCCCCATCCCTATTCATAAAGACAGCAGGCAGGAAAAAAAAATTCTGGTTTAGGATGGGAAGAGCAACTTTGGGAGGGGAAGCACTATGGGATAGCATGCATTTGGCCATGTTTCCTGTTGGAAGTTTGATGAGCATGTTAAAAAAACCAAAAACGTCTGGAGTCAAATACTGTTCTGACTTCCAGCCTTCGCAAGTAATAATAAGCTGTTTACTCGTGAATAAAACAACCCCCTTTTTATAACAGAGCAGTAACAGTCTTTTATTTACGTGGATAAACAAAAAAAATCAAACTTAAGTAGTCCCAACAAACCTGGGTTTGGCCAAGGAATCCGAATTGCTTGCTGTATATTAGAAATAAACTATTGTCTGCAACAACCGACCAAACCCCCCTATTTATTTCCCAGCCAGGGAGCAGCTGGCTAGTGTCGACGTCTGCCATACCCCGAGAGCCGGCTTATTGTTTTCCTTTGCTCTCCTCTCCTTTCCTCCCTAAGCATATGTGCATCTGGGATGGGCCCCATCTGTTCCTCCCCCTCACTCAGCTCAGGCCCCGAAGACAGCTACCTCTCCACCTGGGGGAGGACAGAAGTCCCCAGCTCTGCGCCTGTCTCCGATGCTGTTTCCTTATCAAAGCCTTCCAAAGGCTCCAAAGCTGGCACAAGCCCTCCCTTAACCTTCTCATTGTCTGACTCTGCTGATTGCTCTGCTGGCAGCCGACGGGCCACAACAAATATACACATTGATTTAGACAAGTTTACAAACTGATATACAACTGAAACAAAATGTCCTTTTTGGGACCGATGATCAAACAGTTGGGCAAACATTTGCCCAGTTGGGCAAACAAGACTTTTATATGCACATTTAGTTTAGTTTAGTTTAGTTTTATTTGATTTGTATACCACCCTACTCCCGAAGGACTCAGTCCTTACCTAGAATGGATCTGACATTACCTTAAAAGAGCCTTGATAGTACAGTGGTTTAGTGCACCCTGTCATTAACACAGCTGCCTGCAATTTCTGCTGGTTCGAATCTCTCCAAGGCTCAAGGTTGACTCAGCCTTCCATCCTTTCTAAGGTAGGTGAAATGAGGACCCAGTTTGTGGGGGCAATAAGATGACTTTGTATAAAATATACAAAAGAATGAAGGCTATTGCTTAACGCATTGTAAGCCGCCCTGAGTCTCCGGAGAAGGGCGGCATATAAATCAAATAAAAAAAAAAAATGGAAGAATGGGTGGTGAAATTGATGAAGTTGGCTAAGAAGGCAAGATTGACAGCTTTGATTAGAGAAAAAATATAATTAATTTTAATGCTGACTGGAAGCTGCTTTTGGATCTTTGGCATGAAACACAAACAAATGAAATTACGACATAAGGATTTAAGACTAGAAAATAATAGAGAAAATGAAAGTTATGTTGCAAACTTAGAGCAAGAGATCTTTGTAAATTTATGCACATATTTGCTGTAGAAGAAAAACAGAAGCCTTTGTATGTCTTTTTCTTTCTGTGCTTTTGACTTTTTCTATCTTATTAGTTTTTGTTCTTTTATCTCTCTACTTTAAACAAATGAAATAAAGTCATCTCAAAGTGCAGATTGTGCAAAGAAACAGAAGAAACAATAGATAATATAATCTTGTGCAAGAAGATTGCACAAACTGAGTATAAACAATAGCATTGCATTATGGCTAATAATTGGAACAGCTGTATAAATTATCGTGTCCTTGTTATAAAAAAATTGTGTGGGAAACATAAGCAGCCAAAATGAGCAAGATAAAATATTGTGAGATTTCCAAGTACAAACTGATAAAGTCTTGGCACATCACACCAGATTTGGAGTTGAAAAGAAGAAAGTGTGGATAATTAAAGTGATGATATCAGGGGATAACAGAATAGAATAGATAAAATAGAATAGAATTTTTTATTGGCCAAGTGTGATTGGATACACAAGGAATTTGTCTTGGTGCATATGCTCTCAGCGTACATAAAAGAAAAGAGGTCAAAAGAAATAGAAGTCAAAGAATCTAAAGGTATCAAGCTCTGAAAATCAAAGTTGAAAGATGGCATAAACTGGTTGTGGTGGTCCCAGTGGTTCTCAGCACATTGGGTACCATACCAAAAAGTCTTGAATGGCAATTAGAAAACCTGTACATTGGTAAAATTTCCATCTGCACTGCTTGGATCCACACATGTACTGCACCAAAACATTATGACATCCTAGTTCTTGGGAAGAACTTGGTGTGTTTGAGGGCCCAAAGCCAGCTAAAGAACTGGCAGGTGCAATTGTATGTTGTTGTGTATATAATAATAACCAATATTAATGTAGTTTTAGCGTTTGTATGGATAATTTCTTGGTAGGTTCTACGCAGCAGAGCTGATGTTAATCCTGCAAATCTGACTGCATTTTATAGGAAGTCCTGGCTTAGCAACCACAATTGGGAGCAGCAACTTGGTCTTTAAGCAAAGTGGTCACTAATTATAAAATCACATGACTGCAACTGTGTTTACGTTGTTCCTTTGGCTTCCCCTTGTTTTCTAGCATTAAAAGGAATAGGACCCCAAACAGCTAGGTGAGCATAAATGGTGCAAATAGCAGGGAAGGTTCAGAATGCTCACCCTGGTGTCGGGATAATTAGCATGAAGAGGATTAATATTTACATTTAAATTCATTGGAAAGAAAGGGTTTATGGGTAGCCCTTAACTTATGACCAGTTGTTTAACGACCGTTTGAAGTTATGGTGGATCTCCCTGGAACTACTTACTACCCAGTTCTGAAGTTCCAATGGCTGCCCCTTCTGCAGCCACAACTGCATTTTTGAGGTGTTTGGCAACCAACCCACATTTATAGCCATTTGCAAAGTTCTGCAGTTACATAGTCTCTGATATTTTGGCTGGAAACCAGTGTTTACTTCTGATTTTCAGCAAAAAAACCCTACCCATTCGGTATAATATGTTTGTGTAACAAATGCCATGTTTGCTTGCTTAACAGCTGCCATTGCTTAACCACAGTTTTGGACGCAATTTAAATGGAGGACTACTTGTACAACAGAGTAAACTCCAGCTCCTGCTTGTAATTGACAAGACCTAATGAGTTTCACCCTCAAGACTTTTGTTCCCATCGTAAGTGAACAGCTCTAGGAAATCAGCCAGTGCTAGCACATTCCTTTCGATATGTATTTCCCATTGTCTGCCTGTTTACTCTTAGTAAATATCAACAAGTGCACCTGACATAATCTGAGAAGGAGTTTTAGTTGAAAGGGAGACTGACAGAGATTGAGTGAAAAGTGCTGAAGATTGAGGGAAGTCAAGAGATGAAATCTAGCCAACAGGAAGCCAAAAGATGAGGCCTATTAAGTTCTGCCAGCCAGAGATTGAAAAAGGTTTAAAATGAGAGTGAGAAAATGAGGCTGGTATATATTTAGCCTTTTCCTTGACTTTAGATATGAAAGGTAGAAAAATAGAGCATTGAATATATATGTCTATGTCTATGTCTATGTCTACGTCTACGTCTACGTCTACGTCTACATCTACGTCTACGTCTACGCATATGCATATAATATATATGTATATATGTATATAGGTCTTTGGTTATTCGGGTTTTCTCCCGCGTAAAATTGGAAGTGTCTTGGCGACGTTTCGACGAAGTCTCATTCGTCATCTTCAGAACACCCGCGAAAACCTCAGAAAACAAATATATGTATATATGTATATATAAATATTCAAGGAGGAAAACTTAAGCTTCATCATTTTCAAGAGTACAGAAAAAACAGTTCAATTACTTTAGGGACCTTGGTGGTACAGTGATTAGAATTCAGTATTGCAGGCTAACTCTGCCCACTGCCAGGAATTCGATCCTGACTTGGCTCAAGGTTGACTCAGCCTTCCATTCTTCCGAGGTCGGTAAAATGAGGACCCAGATTGTTGGGGGCAATAGGCTGACTCTGTAAAACTGCTTAGAGTGGGCTGTGAAGCACTCTGAAACTGTATATAAATCTAAGTACTCTTTATAGTTAGAACTGGCAATGCCTTAAAATGGGGAGAAGGAGGCAGAAGAGGAGTTAGCAGTTTTAGTCGTAAATCACCTTGCTGGTTCTGCCAAAGAAAATGACTGGGAAGTCATAATTGCAGAACAAATGTTTGCTTTTTTATGAAGGTATTTGAACTAAAGTGAAATACAAACCAATGGTTTTCTGCTCTGAGTTTTTAACTGATCATGAAAGTCACAGAAAGCTACCAGTCACACATTGCCTACATTATTTAAATATTAGAATATTAATATTAATAAATCAAAGAGAAAATTCCAAGAAAAGATCTTTGGTCACAGGCTATTGGTCACCTTGGGCTATTAATTAGGCATATCTCAAAAAAAAAATTTCAATGACTAATAATCTCAAAAAAAAGTTCAATGACTAATATACACAAATATTCATGATACTGGGACTATGATTTCCTCCACATATCTCAGGAAATGATGAAGATGAATGATGTTGGATTTTTTTCATGTTGGGAGAGAAAATACTCTTAATTTATTAGCTCTAATGTATCTATCAATATAAGATATAAACAATTAAAGACATATTCAATTAGAAAGATAGAAAAGGTGAAGGCACGTGAAGCTGCTTAAGCTCTCTGAAATGCACAGCTAGGTTTACTCCTACTTGCAAACATATAAAATAAACCTGCTTACAAGTACAGTGAAATCTTGCTTTAATGGATCAATGAGCAGAGTTACAATTGGCAACTGAGGGAAGGGTGATTATAAGTCATGAATGTCCATGAAACTGGATTGAATGTCATTGCTGACATTTAGGTCATTAGCATAATAAGATCATCAAATGTACATATGTATGTGTATGTATGTATGTAAATAGCAATAGCAGTTTACGGAGTCAGCATAATGCTCCCCAACAGTCTAGATCCTCATTTTACCGACCTCGTAAGGAAGGAAAGTTGAGTCAACCTTGAGCTGTTTAGGATTGAACTGCTGGCAGTGAGCAGTGGGTTAGGCTGCAATACTGCATTCTAACCACTGCACCACCAAATATGGGCTACTGTTTATGAAGTCCATTTTATCCAATTCTGGAAAAGTGAGGTTTCCTGGCACTTTACAAACCTTGATCAAGAAATAGGTTACTAACTTGGTTTCTTTTATTTATGCTATTTTTGCCTGTTTTAATCTATAACTGAATATTATAAAAGAAAAGAAGTGTTATAAAAGAAAAGGCTTTTTTAACTTCAGAGAGTGATCCAAAAAATAAACATAGTGCATTTAAGAGCTCAGGAAAATAAGTTATTTCCTCAGGGAAATTTGATGTGCATTTCACAACTCATGTCCAACATATTATTAGGGTAATAGCTTATTTTACACAGAGACATATAAGTATCTATGTGTGTATATAAAATTGTACATAGATGTATATATACATATATACACGTATGTACACATATACATGCCCACACACATACACCTCATAGCTCCAGGGCCAAATATGACTCTAGATAGAAATACCTGTCCCAGTTTGCAGCACAAAGGCAAAAGAAAGTTGTGGAGAAAGTTTTGAGAGTGACAAGGAACTAAGCTTCCCATGATGGCTGAATCTTAAGAGTATAGCTCCATGTTCTCTTAGACTGTGGCTCCATGTCCCCTTTATCTTTTTAAAAAACTATTTCTTAGTCACCCATCTCCATCAGAGAAATGAATAACTATAAACAAAGAATGCAGGTGATTGAGAAGATGAAGAATGGAGGGAAAATGAGAAAGCAAGGATCAGGTTGGGGATATCTAAAAAAAAATTGTTTAGATCAGTCTTTCTCAACCTCATCAATTTTAAGATGTGCGGACTTCACTTCCCAGAAGCTCCCAGCCAGCATGCTGTCCACACATCTTGGAGTTGCTGAGGTTGAGGAACACTTGACAATTATTGGGAAGATTTTGATGTGCAACAAATTGGAGAAATGGGTCAAAGGTCATGGCTCTGCATTATTTGTACAAAAAATATTCTTTTAACATTTCATACCTAGGAAACAGAAAGCTGATAGAACCAAGAATCTGATGCTAGGTTGAAATTGAATTTCAATTCTTTAAAAAACCGACACCAGAAACAATTGATAGAATGTCTTTATGGTCTCCTCTGAATATCTTCAACCTCTCCTGCTGATAATCCATGGTCCAGAGTCACCAAACAACACAGACAATAATCTCCATACTAGGCATAGCATGAAAGGAGACACCCGTGGGAAAGAAAGACAGCACTTTGAGAGAAGGATTCTCCTTACTTTTGTATAAGAGAGTTGAATGTATCATCAAGATGTTCTCGAATATGAGATTGAAGCTCAATTCCAGATGTGATCAACTGCTGGCGAAACTGGAACCAAATATCTACCAGGCATTCCAACCTGTTAGAAACATGACAGATTTATATCCCAGACTGAAATCCCACATCCATCCAAACCAAGATTATCTAAATTCCAAGAGTCAAACGAACTTTTTAAGGGGTATAGCAGTCACTTTTTATCAAGCACTAAAGATGGGCCCGTTTTTATATTTGTTAAGGGTTAAAACAAACTTCCCTAACTTTTGTCCTCCAAAAGTTTTGGATTACAGTACAGTTCCCTTATTTCTCAGCCAACATAGCATTGGGCTATAGTAGATCCTTCATGATCAAGGACAATCAAGCACTAGTACTGGACTCAAAAGAAAACTCTAGACTGTCCACATGGCTGCCTCATCTAGAAAGGATTCTATGTCAATATATTTAACAAAATAACAGAGTTGGAAGGGACCTTGTAAGCAGGAGATCCTCCACCTTTTTTTTTTTTTTAATTTGATTTATATGCCGCCCTTCTCTGGAGACTCAGGGCGGCTTACAATGCGTTAAGCAATAGCCTTCATCCTTTTGTATATTTATACAAAGTCAGCTTATTGCCCCCACAACTGGGTCCTCAATTTACCTACCTTAGAAAGGATGGAAGGCTGAGTCAACCTTGAGCCTGGCGAGATTCGAACCTGCAGTAATTGCAGGCAGCTGGTCTTAATAACAGGGTCTTTAGACCACTGTACTACCAAGGCTCTTGGCTCTGACAGATGGCGGTCCAGTCTCTTCTTGAAAGCTTTCCGTGCTGAAGCACCCACAACATCTGAAGGCAAGCTGTTCCATTTATTTATTTATTTATTTATTTATTTATTTATTTATTTATTTATTTATTTATTTATTCAGATTTCTATACCGCCCTTCTCCTTTCAGACTCAGGGCGGTGGTTGACTGTTCTCACTGTCAGAAAATTTCTCTTTATTTCTGGGTTGAATCTCTTCTTGATCAGTTTCCATCCAGTATTCTTTGTCTGGCCTATTTGGAAAATAGGTTGACCCCCTCCTCTCTGTGACAGCCCCTCAAGTATTGGAACACAGCTATCATGTCTCCCCTGGTCCTGCTCTTCACTAGACTAGCCAGTTCCTGTATTTTGCTTTTATGATGAGTGCAATATAAATGATTCAAGGAATAATAGCAACTAAAATATTGCCAACCAGATGGAGTGTGGAATAAAAATGATCAATGGTTGGGATTGGGTTCAGTATCTGAATAGCTCTTGGTTGCTCTCCATGACCAAGAGCAATAATAACAAATAGTAAACGTGCAGAATATAGCTATAAGAAGCCAATGTGATGTAGTGGTCAAGACATCACCTAGAAACCTGGAGTTGTGAGTTCTAGTCTCACTTGGGGCACAAACCCAGTTTGGTAATCTTCAGTCCATCCTTCTCTCTGAATCCTAGGAAGCAAACCACTTCCAAAAGAACCTTGTTAAGAAAATTGCAGGGACTAGTTCAGACAATCGCTATGAGAAGACATATACAAATCTATTCAGCTTTCATTATCAATACAAGCTGTAGAGTTTAGCTCTTTTTTTTTTAGTAGAGCTAAGTACTGTATAGTACTTAGTACTGTATAGAGGTTAGAAATTTCCTTTTGCTTGTCATATATCTAAGATCTGACAAGTAAATGTAAAGATTTACACTTCTACCAACACCACTAGACTCCTCTAGATATGGTAACATTAACCACAGACCTCTATCGGGGAAAGTAGATCCATAAGAGACATTGCCATGACAATTTGCATTCAGCTGCTTCTTTAAGCAGCATTAAAAGTTGGGTTGCTAAACCACTGACAGATTCAGAGTGATAACATCCCATCTGACAAAAGGTAACACATTCTTTTTGCACAACTCACCTCTTTTGCAGAGGGGACAAGTCCTCATCAAATGGACTTCCATTCCCAGCCAGTTGCTGCTGCCTCTTCCAAATCAGAAGCCTCACCAGAACCTTCTTCTTGGCCTCTTCTAACTCACTGTCCATCTTCATGAACAGTCCTTGAAGGCTTTGAAGAGACTAAGAAAAGGGATACATCCGTGAGTACATATGCAGAAAATGACATGCATTGTCTGGTATCCGTCAGATATGCAGTGGAGAACTCTGTTAGGGCGTGCATATTGTGTGATTGCTAGGAAGAGACATAGATGATCCACATGTAGAACTTGATCCAACATGTCAACATGTTTATTTAGAGCTTGGGAAAGGAATATTATATACTGAAGGGTTTGAGGCATTCCAGACAATTTTTCCCTGCTCAGTATTCAATTGGGCATGGAAACAATAGTAACAGGATATTTTTAGCAGCATAGGGCTAGGATGTTTACAAGGATTAATTTTGCCCTTCCCCAGTAATCTTAATTAAAAAAAATAAATAAGAGGAGGAAGGTATGTTGAATACCTTGCCACCTTATTTGTAAAAAACAATAAAGGCGAGAAATAAACAAACGAATAAAAACAAACAGCCCAAATTACTATTTTATTATTACATCTTAATGGGGCTGAAATCAATGGATTGATAGGGTGGAGATGGCTGAATTGAATGGAAGAAAATAAGTGTGTGTATGTGTGTATGTGTGTGTGTGTGAGAGAGAGAAGCAATACATGAAGGAAGAGAGAAAAGCGACAGAAAGATACAAAGAAAACAATCAAAAACAAAAGACAAATTTCCATCCACTCTTGGCTTTGGCTTTCTCTACTCTGAAAAACATACATCCTATGGCTATTGATGTCTAAGCATCTCTCATTTTTGATTTAGAAAACATAGGCTTTTAGCCCAAATGCTTGGCAGAAGGAGCTGGTGAAGCTGAACTGAGCTGAACAGATACAAACAATATTGCCATTATAAATCAGAGGCTGGTCACAGCTTTCTTTAAGGCTTTTCTTAGCATAGATTACGCTCTGCATTACTAAACAAAAAGCTTGTGAAAACAACTGCTTTTGGAGAGGGTCTTTTTTATTTTATTTTTTGCATTTCTTTTGCAGGGCAATTTCATCCATAATATTTCAGGCACTTAACAAAAAATATTTCTGTTTATATGCAATTCTTGTCCCTAGGCGACCTCTTTGTCATTTTTTGCTTCGGCTAAATAGCTGCAAGAGAATAATGGGCTGCATTTTTTGACTGGTTACAATGCCGATAAAATTTTAGTTTTTTATATATACAATATCAGAAATCCTTATTTGTCAACTTGTTTGATTCTTTTTCAATGGGAGTGCTTCGGCTCTAATCTTCAGGAGCTCTTGTAGCCTTCAAAGTAATTTTAAACTTGATAGAGCAAAGCTGTATTTTCTTTTTCTTTAAAGATACAAATTCCTGGTCTCGAGCATTACATGGCCCAAGCTTTGACAACTGTGTTGGTATTTAAAAATTCATCGGTCAGGATGAACATCAGTTTTTTTTTTTATCTTATTCAAACTAGGGAACTTATCTGGCTCTCGGAAATGAAGGGGAATTCTGTCCAATGGGATGAGACTTGTAACCTTATTAACACTTGGATTTCTATACTGTAGGTCTTTCCAAAAAATGGTTCTTGGACTTTTAATTTCCCAAAGGTCAATATTTGATATTTACAGTGCAATTCTACGCATGAGTGTAAGATCTTAAAGCGGCTTTAAGCTAAAAAAAAAAAAAATTAGTGTATAGGATTTCAGTCTTAACCTTATTTAATTGCTATATGATAACAACAGTAATTTCAGTCTGTATGCATGCTGAATTATTTAAAAGCCTGTGGAATTGCCCCAGGTGCTTGGCGTTTGGGGAACTGATTTTAGAAATGGGGATTAGAAAGCCAGTCAACTGGCAATACATTATTTGAACAAAATCAAACTGTCACAATTTTTCCAGTCTTCTAAAAATGGGCTAGATTCAATTCAGTTGACTGGAATGGAATGGAATGGTATAGAGTCTCCTGCATGAGCAGAGAGTTGAACTCCAAGGTCCCTTCCAACTCTGTTATCCTTAAGCAATTTAGAGTTTGAAGAAGCTGCAAAAAGACCATTTTTCTGCACCAAACAAACCAAACAAACTTGCTTTGCCATTCCAAATACCATCCTAGACCAAAGAAGACAGACAACTTTTCAATAGTACCTTCTGTTACCAAACAATCCAGAGAGGGTTAATTTTGTTATCTTTTTATACTAGGCAACATTCCCTAAAGGTCTTTTAACATGTATATATTTAGTCTAATCTTTACTTAATTGAAGAAAGTTTCTTTCTTTGTGATATCATCTTGGGAACCTGTTTTAGAAATTGCTACTGCTAATTACTACTTCCTTTAATTATTTTATTATTCTTTTTAAGGCAGACATTATTGCTATTGGTTCTAAGCAAATAAAACCTCCTGGAAATAAAACAAATTAAACCAAATGCAAATACAAAAATGCATTTACTAGACTTAAGACCAAGGAAGTAATTTATTGCACCTTTAGTACACTTTTCTAAACATGCAACTTGGAGCGTACAGGTAGTCCTCAACTTACAATGGTTCATTTAGTGACTGTCCGAAGGCGCTGAAAAAAGTGACTTATGACCTTTTTTCACATTTACGACCATTGCAGCATCGCTATGAACACGTGTTCAAAATTTAACAGCTTGGGAACTAACTCCCATTTATGACAGTTGCAGTGTCCCAGGGTCATGTGATCCCATTTTTGTGACAAGCCAAGTCAATGGGGGAAGCCAGATTCACTTAACAACCATGTTACTAATTTAACACCTGCAGTGATTCACTTAACAACTGTGGCAAGAAAAGTCGTAAAATGGGGCAAAACTCACTTAACAAACGTCCCACTTAGCAATAGAAATTTTGGACTCCATTGTGGTCATACGTTGAGGATTACCTGTACTGGACCAGTTATTGTTAACGGTAGAATATTACATATAGGTAGTCCTTGACTTCTGAGCTTAGCAGCCATTCAAAGTTACAATGGACCCCAGAAAAGGTACTTATGAGCTGGATTCAAAGTTCCGACAGCCTCCCACAACCCTGCAGTCATGATTGAATTTTGAGCATTTGGCAATCAGCCCTCATTGACAGCTGTTTGCAGTGTCCTGTGTTCAGGTGATCACAATTTGTACAATCGACGTTTACTTCTGGTTTCCAGCAAAAAAAAAAAAAAGGTGCCCATTGCAGACAATTGGTTTGTTTAATGACTGCAAAGTTTGTTTAACGATTACGGAACTCTCTTTACGGCTGCCACATTTACTTAACAACCGCTGCAAAAAAAGGTTGTAAAATCAGGCATGGCCACATGACAACCCGCTTAACAATTGGCTCAATTTACGACTGTAATTCCAGGCTCAGTTATGGTCATGACTCATAAGCTAATCATGTCCGGCTCAGGAATTCTGGGAGTTGAAGTCCACAAGTCATAAAAGGGCCATGGTTCCCCGCTTCTGATATAGAATCTCAATTTCTTGCTAGTTTTTCAAGGGACAAATAGAACAAAACTTGAGGACATGCTCCTCATTAGCAGAAGATTTTTCTCAATTTCCCTTAACATAAGAAATTATAGATGAATTCTTCCAAAAGAGGAACAATAGACTACCATTCCAGGAAATGTTTGCTGAAATATAGCTTTCCTGAAACTCTCTTCCCCTATTGGCACGTAAACAACTTCTAATAAATATTTTATTGCATACTAAAACTACAACTCCACAAAAATGAATGCCAACCTCACTGAGGACCTTCTCTTGGACCGATCCCCATATTGGAACACATTTTTAAAATCATTTGAGATCAAAGAGTGAGCCAGTTTGCTTGAGTTTTTAATGACAATTACTATTCTTATTTGTTATCTTATTAGGCAGCTTCTGTTTTTAGTTATTTTTAATAGAATGGTCACTTAAGTCTTCGGAGAAAGACGGAATACAAGTTGAACAAATAAATAAATAAATAAATAAGTAGTTTAATCGTTGTTTTAGACCATTTAGAATTAGATAGGGAAACTACCTTGAGGACTCAGAGTTTAGACAGAAAAAAAAAAAAAGAGGGCAGAAAAAGTAACTTTAAAAAATGAAAACAGCAAATAAACTCAAGACTTCATAATAAATTCTTTGTAATGTTGGTAACTTACACTTGCTGGCAGGTTCTCTTGTATTGGAAATTGACAATCCAGTGAGTTTTGTGACAGTGGAGCTGAGGATCACAAATGCAAGGTTAACAACAACTATAGAAGGTTTTCACATACAAGTTAATAATTATTGCACACATTTTAGACCATCGTTTTTTCTTTCGTTTATTGAAAGTTGGACACAAAATTCTCCATTTATAGTAATAATTAGAAAAACAATATTCAGTGGATCTCCTCAGTGATCAGTCTCCACTGATAACCCTTAATATGGACTATCCTACCACTTTGCTAGTAGGAGTGGGAGGCAGGTATGATGTGAATGGAATGAATGAAATTTACTAGTGTCCATATATTTCAAGGCAATAGGATTAATAAAATAACCCTTGGACATTATATATTCAAAATATATTTTTGAATGAGTTTATAAGGTTTTAAACTTTATATTTTAGAGGTACAGTAGTTATGTTAAAAACAAGAGTTTATTTCAGGAGAAGTTTAAAAAGAAAGACCATGAGAGAAATTTGTGCTAAAAACATATGTTAGGGAAGCTTGAGCATGCATTATAGAAATAACAAATGACAAAGAGATACAGGCAGTCCTCATTTAGCGATTGCTTCATTTAGTGACTGTTCACAGTTACAAAAGTGATTAAAAAGTAACTTTATGACCAATCCTCACATTTATGACCTTCACAGTGTGTAAACTTTAGGAAGTTAGCACCCACCCCTCTCCTAGGAAAATGAGATATTTTAGGAAATATTAAAAGGACAGAATATTTCCCCTAAAAGGGAGGCAGAAACTCACCCCCCACACACACACCCTTGTCAATGGGCCATTAAGGCCTGGGCCAGTCTTTTCAACATAACAAAAATCTACCTCCTTCAGGCAGAGCCATAGCAGGAATTGTCCAAAGCCCTTTCGTTTTTATATATATATATAAATTTTATTAAAGCATTTTGTTATATTTCAAAAAATAAAAATAAAAAACAAACAAACAGATGTATAATAATTTTTCTATCAAGGTGTAACATCACCAAAATATATATACACCAATAATCAGAGAGTAAAAATAGAAAATATTTACAGTTTCTTGTATAGAAATTTCCAAAGCCCTTTTATTACATCATCACCCAGGAAGACTCAACCAAACCTGGGACACAGACAGCCTACAGAGTTACCCCTGCATGGCCCCATGGGAGTCTGACAACCAATCAGAATACAAGCTCAAATTCAAAAAGCTTAGAGAGGGCATAAAACCCAGGCACTCTCAGCATCTCTTCCCTTTTTGCCCAGGACCTCAAAACCATGTGGTCCTGTTCACCATTAAAAACTATCTTTCTAATCAGCCACCATGTTTCCAGTGTCTTTCTCCCCAGTTGGAACTGAACCCAGATGGACATTTCTTCCAACAAAATCAAACGAAAGCTAAAATAAGATCATAGGCATGGTTGTGGTTTCTGAAGAATGGATGGAAAAAGTGACGGGGCAGGCAGAGATGGCAAAATTAAGTGTTTTAATTAAGGAAACAACGCATCCAGTTTTGCTTCTACTTGGAAACCGCTTCTAGACTGTTTTGTGCTCAAAACGGGAAAAAATATATATGAAATTTTGGGTGAGCCAATTAGTTTGTTGTTATAGAAGTGGCTAATATTCACTAATGATGTAAAAGTAAAAAGTTGATAGAACTCTAATTTGTACTCTACTCAAAAAAATTTGTACTCAATTTGTACTCAAAAAAAGTTGGAAGCCACTGCTTTTTTTTCTTTCTTCTTTCCCCCTTCTTTTTCCTTCCTCATTTTCCTTTTATTTTTATTTTATTTATATATATCTCACCTTTATTGTTTTTATAAATAACTCAAGGTGTGAACACACACAATATTCTTTCTTCCTCCTGTTTTCCTCCAAACAACCCTGTGAGCTGGCTTGGATTGAAAAAGAGTGACTAGCCCAAAGTCACCCAGCTGGCTTTCACGGGAAGGCAGGACTAGAACTCACAATCTCCCACTTTCTAGCCTTATACCTCATAGTTTCCTGGCTTCTAGCCTGGGGCCTTAACCACTAAGCCAAACTGATTGTTCTTATTATCTTAATTTCTCTCTGTATTTGGTATCTTTTCAGATAAACTTCAATAAAATTTGTATAAGCACAGTTGTGGTTTCATTCATAGTGACTAGTTTCTTAACAACTGAGGTGCGGGTCCCAACTGTGGTCACTAAATGAGGACTACCTGTACCCATTTTTATCCCAATGGATGTTTTAAAATAATCAATTAAAAAATAAGACCCATTGGAATTATTGCCTTTTAAGTCTATACAGTGATCCAGATCAAATGACAAAAATGAATTTAGATACAGAACTCTTTAAAATAGCTGCATCTTTTCCTGGACTTGCATGGCTGTTGCCCAAAGCCGATTTGCAGTCCTGGAAAAAGACTTGTCTGGTATAATGTGTTCCTGGCAGATGCTATGCACATGTCTAGACACGTTCCATTTGGCCCTTCACGTCCATATCTCTACATGGGTTGATCACCTTTCAAATGTTGACAACAAAATGGATCAGATATGTGCTAATACACGGATGCATCTTATCTACTGTTGTTAAATGGGAAGTGCTTCATTTATTTGTGCCTGGATAAACCCGGAGAAAATCTTCTTCTGTTTGCATAATAATCAGTTTATCATTATTTACCAAGGCATGGTAAGAAATGAAAAAAATGAGAAAAAACAAACAAACAATAATTACAAATCAATCGAATAACATTAGCTGTGTTAAGACTAAGTGTATTCATAATTTGAAGCAGATGTTAATAGAAAGCTGACAGCTAAATATGAATAGGCTGAAATAATCAGACTACACACACACACACACTAATCCAATAAAAAAGGTCTTTAAACCCCTTTTAAAAAGTTGTAACATTTTTACAGAGAGAAAGGGAACTGATTTTAAGGTCATAAGTCTAGATTCTTAAAATCCCAGAAGTAGCAGCTGCGGCAGAAGGAATTAAAAAGAAAAAAAAAAAGACCCTATTTAGAAGAGCATTTTTAAAAAAACAACAACTATGGGAAGAGATGAGAGAAATCAGATCTTGGAAAGTACCAGAATTTTAAACTTAGCTCTGACGCAAATGGGAGGTAGCGAAGAGTCCTGTGCTCTACTGAAACATGGGAATAACATGGAAGGCCCAGAGTAGCTCAAATGGCATTGCTCTGGATGAAGATTAGGGAGCCGAGAAAGAACTCAACCCGTTCTTAATTTTCTGTCCTACGCAGTAAATAAAGTGACAACACTGATGCTGTCAAGATGTGGCTGTAACTTCCCTTGTTATCTCTTCCAACTTCTTTTCTTACTTGCCAAAGTCTTTTGACTAAATCTTTGACTCTTGTCCCAGAAGCTTAGGCAGCTAGGAGTTATGTGAGGGCAACTATATTATGTGTGATGCCTCTTCCCTTCTCATCAAGCTGCAGTGTTCCAGTACAGTCCTTCAAATGTGAATTAGGGCAATAAAAATCCCAGCCTCAGGCACAACAAATAACAAAGCAAATGTTATAATGTCAGGTGATATCGCAGGGAGCCAATCCTAAATACAAGTTCCCATCAACCTGGCTTCCCCATGCAGGGAGGAAGTACTAGTAGTTCCTAGTTGATGGTTACCATCACTAGTAACCACTCGATGGATACCTGTAGTGTCTCTTTGAAGCCAGGACATGAATCTGCCATGTATGAATTTTCTCAGTTATATGTTTTCCTCCACTCATAGACTGAAGAGGTAGAGGATATGGCAATTTGTTCATTTTTTTAATCAAACGTATCTACCACCCGTCTCACTGTCTAAATGACATTTTTCAAGTAAAAAGAGATAAAATTCATATAAAAATCCGTACAAAAAAAATCTGCAGCAGCATCTCTCTTCTTCCTACCTTCACTGATTTCCTTTGTATGGTCAAGCTGCTATGGGGAAAAAAAGGGTATGGGCATCCTAACATATGTGAGAAAGAATACTTTTCCATTTTAAAAATATTTCTTTTAAAGGGAAAAATTTATTTATTTAAAAGATTTATATGGTCACATCTAAAGCAACTCTGGGTGACTGCTTAAGTACAGTACAGTATCTGCTCCACAAGTATAAATTTAGGCCACTTATTACTGTCTATGGGGATTCTCTGTCATTCAGGTCATGGTTGCCTCAAAGGTGCTTTTTCAAAAGGCAACTGGACTTTTCTTTGCTTTCCTTGAAGATGTTTCACTTCTCATCCAAGAAGCTTTCATCAGTTGAAACATCTTCAAGGAAAAAGCACCTTTGAGACAATTACGCAGCTTACCTTGAAATTTTCTGGACTAGATCGACTCTGAAAACTCAAATTGCTTATTAATAGTGAGGATACTCTGCCCCCTGTCCTGCATGCCTATGTAATGTATATTGTATATTACAATATATATATTACACATTACAGACTGTATATAAGAGTTTTCAATATCTGTACTGTACTAGTCACATTGAAATATGACAGGAGTTTGATCCACTAAAATGGTTCTTATCTAGGATGTCCATATATGGCTTGGATCGAACATGAGCCCTTCTGCTGCCAAGATTCCTTGTTGTATGTGCACCAAGCAAGCAAGACTGGAAGGGATGATTTTTTTTTAATTTTTTTTTTGTACAGCATTTTCACTACGTTTTCAGTGCCCAAACTTCTCAAATGCTCTTTGTGTTATGTCCTCACCTCTGGTGTTGCCCTTCATCTGCTGGAAGCTTTCCCGGAGAGTTTGAATCTCCTGAAGTCTGTATTGCAGCTTCTGTAGGCTGAATCGAAACATCAGTTCTTCCCGCTGACGTTCGATGACAAGGGGAACGTGTTGATGCTGCAAGAGGGAGAAATGAGACATGATTCTCCCTGCTGTGTTACTTTTAGGACGGAACTCTTTCGGGTAATAAAAGTTGGAAGGACACATCAGGCCAGAGACTCTTTACATCAGGGCTGCCAAACTCACAGCCCACAGGCTGGATGCGTCACGTGCTGGCCACGTCCACGCCCGGTTTAGCGAAGGAGGGAAAAGTCGCAATACCTCATGTGACGCCGCCATGACGATGCGAGTTTGACACCCCTGCTATACAAAATGGAATGCCCCAAGTCAGCAGTCAAAAGAGACTGGAAATAACACATTTTTAGCATAGCCTGCATCTCTTGTGCTGATTTTACAAATACAAGTAAAGAGAGAAGTAATATTTGATGGAGCTCATAACATGGAAGGCATAGGCAACCTTGGGATGCCAAGGTTTAGAATGGGTCTTTCAATTACTGGAAGTTGTGGGGGGTTCCTTAGCAACAGATAATAGCTGCCCTGCCTTCATTTTAACCATTATCTAACAGATGGGATTTAAGAGTCCGAGCAATTATTTAGGTGTCAGAAACAGATGTGGAAAATCTCTTACCTGCTGGTGAACTGCTGTTTGCTCTGCTTCCAAGATCCTTTTTATAACATTTGCCAGTTGCAGTGGATCTTTCCGATATCTGCTCTATAATTATTAGGAAGGTGGCAACTGTTAATACTTGTCATCCTTCCTCCCTTTCACTATTCTTCCCCATAACAAGTTCACCTAGAATTGCTGTATCAGCTAATTTTATTTATTTAATTAGTACAATTCTACATCACCCAACTCACCTAAGTGACTCTGGGCAGTTTATAACAATATAATAAAACCATATGAACACCTAATAAAGATATTTAAAAGATATTTAAAAGAGTTAAGAACAAGCTAAAACATGCAAGTTAAACATTTATTCCTTTCAGATTCTGGGAATCTGAATCTGGCACCTACCTATACCTCCCAAGTGATTCTACATTACAAATTGTGCAAAGAGGACTATCTTTAGATCAATGCAGATTTGGTGTTTGTTTACAAAAAAAGAACAGATGCACCGTGAATTATTACTCCTGGGTAAGGTCCCATATTTTAAACTGTTATGAAACATTCATAACTGGAACCCTCCGGTCATTCTGGTACAACCCATTCTGTCATTTCAGGACACTACCTCATATACTCTGCATACCAGGTTTACATATCCATGTTTCTTTCATTGCGGCTTTAATGGAGGTCTTGAAATTGGGAAATTTACCTGGGCATTAGGACCTAGGGGGTTCCCTTTCTTAAAATGCCCTTCTCTAAGATTGTTGAAGGAAGACTGAGCCAAGGTAGTCACTGAACATCACTAGAAGTAAGTTAGATTCCATTCTTGAAGCTCAAGGAGACTCCTAGCAATCAGTCGGGTAATTTTTGCATGTGGTCCCAACTTCCTTCTGTTGCAATTTCAAGATCCTGTACAAACAGGAAACTCCTGACTGCAAAAGCAAGTAGCAATGCAGAAGCAGGAATGAATCAAAATATAGTGTGTTGCACGGCGATTCTGTGGAGTCATGGCAACTGGCATGGCTGCATAAAAAGATGTTAATTCAGAACCATCAATCTCAGATATATGCCTCTATGGCAAACCAACAGGAAGCTTGCAATTTACTTTTTTTTTCTGGGTTTTGGGGTGTGTTTGTATGTAGTGGGGAGGAGAGGTTAAGTCTGATGCACCCAATTACAAACTAATCTCTTAGTTGGTCTCTGGTTGATTGAGATCTGTGAGGTTGAATTGAAGCAGCCTGCATGTTATGCTTGGCTATCATTCTCTGCCAGAACTGCAAATTAAAACATGCGTATTTCGCCTTTTTTCTGGCAAATTAGGTAATCAGGACACCCATCCTAAGGCCTAATTTTTTTCTGTGATGAAAAAAATTATCAGTAAACTGTCTTCAGTTACAAGACAGTAAAACATTGACTATCAGCAATTTTTGTAATCATTTCCCTCATCCCAGACAAGAAGATATCACTTTTCTTAATCTAGGGAATGCTGCCTGAAATGTTTAGTTAAGCTAAAGCCCAGGCCCCTCTTTTCTACCATTTTAAAAAGGAGAGAACAGTAGAAGGAACTCTGTTTCTTCTGCTGTCTAGAAAAGAAGGTGGAAGGTTAATCCACGAAAGTCAGCATTATGATGGGTGACACACAAACAAATATGCACATTGTGGCAGGACCGAAGAGGATCCTTTTGGTGACATATCACATTCACGTTGCAGATTTTCATACCTCAATGCTGGCAACAAACTGAAGAATCTGAGCAGCAGAATTGCAGTTCTTGTTGGCAAGATCTCGTATCTTCTCCACCATGGCAGACAGCAGCCTTCCAGCCAGAAGAGTACAGAAAGAATCTGATCTGTTGATAAATTCCCTAGGGAAAACGTCAGGAGCAGGCAAGGAAATGGGACAAAAAAGAAAGATAAAAATAAAGAAGGGTAGAGATCCAGGCTACTGTGCCTGCCCCCAAGCCATCTTCTTCTTCAACGTTCCTAAACTCAGCTGGTTCAAACTGGAGAAAGTTGGATGCATTGCAGCAAAAACTCTCTGTGCTATTCCTTCTGCCTTTATCTATAAAGACTCCCATTCTGCCAGAGGCTGGTCCTTGAAAAAGAGGGTCATTGAAACAACAGAAGGGAGTAAGAAGAGATCTGGAGCAGAAATAAGGAATATGAAAAAGAAAGGAAAAGAATCTGAAAGTCAAAGTTGAAGTCTTGAAAATGTTGGACAGAGCAGTGCCAGCAGAGAGAAGAAATTTAGCAGTGGTGGTAGGCAGCAGTAGAAAGTAGAGATAACCATCCAGACCAGAGCATAGGTGGACAGAGCAACAACACCAAAATGGGAGGAGTAAGTGGAAAGGGCAACAAGCAGCAAGTCCAATTTGAATTATAACAGTCAGAAAAGAGGTTTTTTTGAAGCCCACCCCTGGAGAGAACCATGGCTCAGAATACTGACAGTGATACAATGAAGCTTGGATTGCTGTCAGATAAACCCCATGGTAAGGATGCCAACTACTTCTACCCACCTGCAAACTCAAGCCCAGCCCTAACTGAGAGAACGTGAGTCTGGATCCAGGCTGAGGCATTACATTATATATAGTTATATATATATATATAAAACTGAGATAGAAACTAGGACAAAGCTGAGATATAAACTCTAGATAAAATGGATAATGGGCAATAATGAGGCTCAAGCAGTGGTGAAATGTAAAATTTGTTACTACCGGGTCTGTAGGCGTGGCTTGGTGGTGGTGGGTAATGTGACTGGGTGGGTGTGGCTTTTTTTTTTTTACTTTTAAAACCATTTTTTCTACAACCTCTTTCTTTTAAAAGCCTCTGACGATCCCAGCTAAATTGCCTGATCATCAGAGCTTTTTTTTCTTTTAAAAACATTTTTTCTACAACTTCTTCAGCCGAAGACGTAAAAAAAATGCTTTTAAAAGCCTCTGACGATCCCAGCTGAGTTGCCTGATCGTCAGAGGCTTTTTTTCTTTTAAAAACATTTTTTTCTACAACCTCTTCGGCCGAAGACGTTGTAAAAAAAAATGCTTTTAAAAGCCTCTGACGATCAGGCAACTCAGCTGGGATCGTCAGAGGCTTTTAAAAACATTCTTCTTCTTCTTCTTCTCAAAGACCTGCTTTATGATATTGAGAACCAAATGGTCAATGATTAGGTTGTAGTCAGCTACGAATCTCTCCCCGACTCACCCTGAGTTTCAGGTTCAGCAGCAGCTATGCTGCCAAGAGGTTGCCATGACTGTTTCTTTATCTAAATTATTATATAGCTGCCTATCTCATAACAATGACTCTAGGTGGCCCACAACAGTTAAAACCAAGGCATAAGACTCCCCTGCAATCCAAAATAACAATGATCTAAACTCAACAAAATGATTTGCAATTATCTGAGCTCAACAAAATGGTTTCCAATTTACAACTAATAAAACCCGTAAGGAGTAGTTAAGAGTTCCCTGGAAGACGTGCTGTGCCATCTCTGTGTTAGGCATGTCTCTCTTGGCTGCTTGCCATCTGCTTTGAAAAAGATGGTTGTGAGTCTTCCATTGGGGAGAAAGAAAAAAACCCCACCACTCAATCCAGATTTGGTTGACAACTTTTGTCTTGCCTCCAAACTTCCATATACTGCAGGAGAATGTGGTGGAAAGGCTGGGAAAAGAGTAGACGGTGAAAGGAGTCTGGGCTAGAAGTCAAGAGTTTTTTGCAGTAACTCCCACCAACGTTGCCTCTGGAGGCATCCTTAGTTTCAACCCTCCTTGTATTCTGAATGACTCTGAAAATAGTTTTTTCCTCAATAAACCTTTGGCTCATACTATAATTGGGGGTCATGCTCTGATGTCACTGGGACCTCCGAGTTTAAATGGGGGGGGAAACTGCTAGGCTTTTATAAGATTGGGCGTAAATCGCTTCTGTTTTTTGTCTTGTGCACAGGCCAGAGTCTTAATCATTGAACATCTTCTGTCAAGCCTGTTTATCTTATTAGATGTATTGTTAGGCTTTTTTTTTCTTTTAAAAACATTTTTTTCTACAACCTCTTCGGCCGAAGACATTGTAAAAAAAATGCTTTTAAAAGCCTCTGACGATCAGGCAACTCAGCTGGGATTGTCAGAGACTTTTAAAAACATTTTTTCTATAATCTCTTCGACCCAAGAGGTTGTAGAAAAAATGCTTTTTAAAGCCTCTGACGATCCCAGCTGAGCTGCGCAATCATCAGAGGCTTTTTTTTTTTACTTTTAAAAGCATTTTTTCGGCCGAAGAAGTTGTAGAAAAAATGCTTTTCTAAGTAAAAAAAAAAAAAGCCTCTGATGATTGCACGGCTCAGCAATCGGGGAGGGGCAGGGATTTTTGCTACCGGTTCTCCGAACCACCCGCCACCATCGCTACCAGATCAGGTGATCCGGTCCGAACCAGAAGCATTTCACCCTGGACTCAAGTAAATGTTATAACTCAAGTTAGAAAAAAAAAGTGAGGTAATAAAAGACACTTGAAGCTTAGATTTGAGTGAAAACTTAGTTTGCAAAATTTTGATAACAGAAAGACCCCATTCACAAGAATATATAATCTCCTACATAAACTTGTGACTCTTCCCAATCTAATCTACCACACAAACCATTACCAAGAAAAGGGCAACATTCTTAAACCTCACCTAGCATTGCCAACCTTCTTGGAAGGATCTGAGAAAGATGAGAACATATTACCCATCTTATTATATATTATCTTCATATTACTCATGGATTTCTAAGAGGCTGACTAAGATGATTTCTGAGTCAAAGCCTGAAACGTAATGGTAAATCTAGAAATGATAACTGTAGCACAATTCTTTCGAACGAGGAACTATTCCAAATTTATGATCTGTCAATAGAACAATCAGATGGAAATAGAACAAGCTATACCCACCTGTACATTAGGAAGATGGAGTTAAAAACCACACATTGCCAGAGGTGATTAAATTTACCATTCATTACCTTTTTAGCAGACTTACCATGGCTCAGTTTCCAGCCACTCCCCCTAGGAGACAACGTAGAGTATGAGGAAATTCTTCATACAAGCCATTGAACCGCTCCGGAGACATGGTGGAGACATAGCTCCACAGGGACGTATTGGTATTGGTCATCTAAAATGGTAAAAACCAACGTTCATTATTGCAATCCATCACACAGAAGATGTTACAACATACAGTGTTGACTAACATTTCATTTCCTGCCTGAGGGGCCTTTTCCACTAATTCGAGTCCAAAACTAGTCCCAATGCAAAAATCAAATAGTTTTTCATACCTCTCTAGATGTATTAGACCAGGGTCACCAACCTTTTGGACCTCAGGGACCACTAAATTCATAATTTTAAATCCCGTGGACCACTAATATGATCTGCCTAATGACTGGCTGGGTGGGCGTGGCTAGGTGGTCATGTGACTGGTTGGGCATGGCCAACTTGATGTCACTCACATCAAGGGGCGCCTCGCCGGCCTCTATTCGCCCCTCCCCTCCCAGCCACTCCTTGCCTGCTTGCCCAGGCTCCTTAGGGCCCCAACAGGAAGCAGTTGTTGGAGCTAAGCAGCCACCATGAGAAAGAGTTGGCAAAACAGCTGGCTCAGTTCAAATTGGATCTGACCAAGAAGGAGGCTCAGCAGAAACACCTCACTGAGGACTACGAGCATAGGCTTTCCAAGCAGAGGGAAGACCTGTGGCAGTGCAAGGCCAGGTGCCAGCACCTGGAGACTCAGCAGGCTGTGATGGCAGCCAGTTCCAGGCCATGATGCAGTCCCACTGGAACAAGGCCCTCCAGCTCTTTGCCACCAACGATGCTTCCCCCCATGTTCTGCCCCAGCTCCGGATTTCCGAGGATATTGACACACACCAACGATCCTTATCAAATTTATTAAGTAGCAAGAATAAACAAGACCGGCAAAGGTTGGCAACCAGCCCAGAAAACAAGATATGATAAACCAAAATACTCTGATAATAAAATATGAGTTGTTTCCAGCAAGAACGCACTAACTGCGTACAACTTAAATAGGCTAAGGGAGTGGCCAATTATCCTCAAGCCCTATTCTTGAGTAGACTTCCTCCTCCTGAGTAGCCACTCCTGCCTTTTGGCAGCCCTGCGTGCCCGAGCATTGAGGAGAGGCTCCTCCACTTCGCTCTCTGCACTGGAAGGAGCCTCTGGAGGTTCTGAAGGCCCTGGCTGAGTCTCTGCCTCTGGCCTCACATCCTCTTCAGCCTCCTCGCTGTCTGATGCGAGCGCTGGCTGTGCAGGCTGCTGGCGCAACACCACACCAGTCTCCTCTTCATCGGGATCAGCCATGAGCCGCGCAGGCTGCTGGCGGGCCACAACACCCCAGCCTTCACCCAAAGTCCTGCCCCAGGAGGCTGAAGTATTATCGAGTCAGAATTTCTACCCCCCTCCAACCCACACAAAAAGACCCTGAAGGGGGAGACTCTCTGCAGTAACACAAGCATTCATTGCACATATCTGTCCCAGGAGCAGTAGTCTGAGGACCCCTGATTTGGTGCAATATAAAAAATGCAAATAATTTTTCTGCAGACCACCAAAATTTTCTGACGGACCACCAGTGGTCCACAGACCCCCAGTCGATGACCGCTGGGTTAGACTATAATTCCTATAATTTAAAGCAGATTCTATGAATCAGTAGAATAGCAGGTTCAAAACAGTTTATCTATGATTGTTCATATCAAGTCCCCATCAGATGCCATCCAATTGTGTTGGAATTCACCAGCTTAATTCCCTGCCCTCATATCTCATTGAATTTTCTTATACCAGTGCTAATTTCATCATTGATATATCTTGCTTTATGGTATATGTTCAAACCTTTTCAGAAACCTTAAGAGTCAGAAGTTAACAGATCTCATTCAGGAGAGAAAGAAAACAGTAGAACAATCTAGCTAAGTTTGATACTGAGCAGGTAGGATGCAGTCAATAGACTGCAATTTGGCTGAAGCTTCCTAGCTTCTTCATCCATAGCTAAGGTGACCAATTTTAACATTGGTAAAGAGGGACATTGTGGGTGTGGCTTATTTTGTGGGCGTGGCTAAGCTGGTCATGTGACTGGGTGGGCGTGGCTAGCTGGTCATGTGACTGGGTGGCCGTGGCTATGTGTATAGGTAAGGTGAACAGATTTTACATTGAAGAAGGACACCATTGTGGGCGTGGCTTATTGTGTGGGCGTGGCTTGGAGGCCATGTGACTGGGTGGGCGTGGCTAGCCTGGTCATGTGACCTGGTGGCCATGGCTATGTGTATAGGGACTACTCAGAGGCTGAAAATTCATTTCTGACAGGTCCTCGCACTTTTGACTGGTCCTCACACTATGACCATCCTCACATTTATGCCCGTGCAGCATTCTTAACAACCATGTCACTCATTTCACAACTGCTTCTCTTCACCATGGTGATAAGATAGGGCAAAAAACGTAAAATGTGAGGACAGTCGTAAGTTCGAGGACTGGTCAAAAGTGCGAGGACCAGTCAAAAATAACTTTTTCAGCCCTCTGAGTAGTCCATATGCACAAAAGGACTAACCAGAGGGCTGAAAAAAGTCATTTCTGACAGGTCCTCGCACTTTTGACTGGTCCTCACACTTATGACCATCCTCACATTTATGCCCGTGCCAGCAGCATCCTTAACCATGTCACTCATTTCACAACTGCTTCTCTTCACCATGATGACAAAGATAGGGCAAAAATGTAAAATGTGAGGACAGTCGTAAGTTCGAGGACTGGTCAAAAGTGTGAGGACCAGTCAAAAATAACTTTTTCAGCCCTCTGAGTAGTCCATATGCACAAAAGGACTAACCAGAGGGCTGAAAAAAGTCATTTCTGACAGGTCCTCGCACTTTTGACTGGTCCTCACACTTATGACCATCCTCACATTTATGCCCGTGCAGCATTCTTAACAACCATGTCACTCATTTCACAACTGCTTCTCTTCACCATGATGACAAGATAGGGCAAAAATGTAAAATGTGAGGACAGTCGTAAGTTCGAGGACTGGTCAAAAGTGCGAGGACCAGTCAAAAATAACTTTTTCAGCCCTCTGAGTAGTCCATATGCACAAAAGGATACAGCAATAGAGAGGGATGAAGGAAGGGAAGGAAATTAAGAGTAGGAGTGACGGTAAGAGAGGGAGGAGAGAGGAGAAGGAGAAAGGAAGAGGAAATAGGGAGGAGAAGAAGAGGGTGGGGGAAGAGAAAGTAAGAAGGAAAGAAAAGAGAGGTGGTAGGTTTGAGGAGAAAGATTGCTGTACAATAAAAAAGATGAAAGGGAAGAAAGCCAACCCCAAACAAATATAAAGATATTAAGATAAAGAATGAATTGTTAAACTTTAAAGAATAAAAGAGAACAAATATGAATAAATAGCAATAATTAGAAAACACATACAAACATACAATGTATTTTCTTTGAACAGAATATTTGGCTGGTTCACAAATTTAAACAGTGTTTAGTCATTTCAATTAAATTTTACAATTTCTATATTTTCTTTTTGCCATATTTATTCCTCATCTATTTTTTTAAAAAAAAACAATATTACCCTTCATCCTCATCTCTAATCTTAATCAAATTCAATTTTTCCCTTCTATTCTATATTATACCCCTTTCCATTGTCATCTATTTTTAATATCCATCCTCACATTGGTTAATTATGTAATTATGTAATACAGTTGTTTAATACAAATTCAACATTTTTAATATAAATCAATTAGTTATATAACTATCTTTTTTGTATATTAATATGAACATGAATATTCCAATTATTTCCATGCAATCCAATTTCTTACAAATCAATTAATTATATTTACCAATAATAATAAACCAAATAATTTCCCCCATATATTCCTCCAAACCAGAACTTAACCATTTCTGCTTTCAACACAGTATACAATTAATAGTATCTCAATTATTACAATTCCTAGTTAAAAAGAGCTTTTTTTTCTTTTGTGTTTTAAAATCTTGAACTCTCCTCTTTTGCCCTAAATAATTTCCCATTGTTTCCACCTACCTTTTTTGGTGAGGAAAAGGAAAATAAATCTGCTGCCAATTTTCCAACGTTGCAAGCAAACACCAAAGCCAACAGCCTGTTTTACTTTCAGTTTCGTTTTGAGCTTGGTTTGCACAAAGAGAAAAAAAAACTGCTGGAGCAATTTAGGAAGAGCAGAGCCCTGCGCAAATCAGCTGAGAGGGGAAGCCGAGCTAATCAACATAGGGCGGCCCTTTGAAGCCCCGCGGCAAGAGTTTAAAGAGTTTTTTTCCCCTCTAGCCATCAGCGGGGACTCAGGAGACAGAATGAAAAATCGGGACTTTTTTAAAACGCCGCGGGACGCGGGACAAATTGCTCAAACGGGACTGTCCCGCCAAAAGCGGGACGTCTGGTCACCTTATCCATAGCAGAATAAAGTCAATATTTACAGTAAGAGCAGAAGTGAAACCCTGTTATAAGATCTGGATCTTCTTTCAGCCTTTGGCAAGGGTGAATGAAGGCTCTCTTAGATTGCCCGAGTTTCTTTCTTTTTTGTTACGGTCTGGTTTGCCTCACCTTTGTCTTATTCTTTTAGTTTTGCTTCTTATTGTATGTTTAAAAATGAATTTACATGTGAGCTGCACAGAAACATTGAGTGTCAGGTGACAAATTTAACAAGTAAATAAACAGCAGATTATTGCCTCTGACAATTAAAAAATCACCGTCCCACTTTATACCCTCATGGGTTTAATATGGAGCTTTTCTCTTCCCAGTTTTCATGCTTAATTGAAAACCCACTTGATTTTCCCATAGTCAGTCCTAAGTTACAGTTGTCAGTTTTCATTCTCAACACCTCTATCCCAGAAAATTCCAGCTCCTACCATATGCAGAAAGTTAGCACACATCCCTCTCCTAGAAGAATGAAATATTTTGAGGAATATTAAAAAGCAGAATATTATATTTCCCTAAATGAGAAATGGAGCAACATGTTTTTTAGAGGGAGGAAGCAGACTCACTCTTAATAGTCCCCACCCGCAGATATTTTGTTCCCATTAAGAAAGACTGGGCCAGCCTATCTACAAAACAAAAGATCTTCAGCTCCAGGATTATCCATTTTATTTTATTTTTTGGCTTTAATTTAT